AACTTAAACAAAATATCGTATATGGAGATTTGATGGGGTACATTAAGTAGTTTGAAGGCGAACATAATTGATGAAAATAATTTTGAAATGACTTACCCTTTTTTTATCCATCTTATATAGAATTATTTGTACCATTTTATAATTTTTTTTATTAACCATATTTACAAAGGGAAAAATTTTTTTTTATTTTTAACAAAAATTTCCATAAGGCGAGTTTCTTTTGCCAAAACTGGAGGCACCATGTAGAATAACATGAATATATGCCGGTGAATAATAAATAAGTTTTATTAACTTTATTAAATAAAAAATATATTTTATTAACTAACTTCTTTTTTCTTTTCTTAAGGTATAAATACCTTTTCTAAAATATAAATTAGAATATAAAACGAAATACAAAAAAGTAAAATAATATATAAAAAAGTAAGGTTACGCCGTTTATAAAATAAAATTAGATTATAACAAAAATAATAAAAGTTCAAATGCAAAAAACAAAAAATAAGATAAAGGAATAACGCAACAGAACGAAACAATATTTCTATTTGATCGTGTAAATGTGTTGACCCTGGACAATTATCACATTTGCCCATATAAACTGGATGGTTGAGGCGAATTACAAATTATTAAGTGTAAAATATGTTTGTATGTTTTAAAGGGCAACATATCATTGGTTAAATTGGGTAAATTTGATCCAATGATCATTAATTTAAAATTTTGGTGGTAGCTGCAATCACATACATGTGTACCACTACCTCCAACGAGTATACAATTTTTGAGCGAATGCTTGCAAATTTCGAAAAACCAATTTTAACATCAGGCCTCATTTCTTTAAAAAATATATGAATTTCTTTCAAATTATCTAAAATTAATCTCTTATGTATGGTATTCTTTTTTCCGTCTTTGGTCAAAATCGAAACGCAATCTTTCTTGCCTGGCATGATTCTGCTTATTTCGTCCATACAATAAAATTCTTGTACAATTTTAACTGTATATTCGTCTATAGGTTTTCCAGGCTTGGGGTTAGGTGTTGATAAAAAAAATACCAATAAATTAATTAATAAATAAATTAATATAGTGAACATGTATTGAATGATTAATCAATTTTAAAATTTTTATTTATTTTATTGATTGAAACACTTATTTATTGTTATTCTAATTTATTTTTTGGCGTCTATGAAATGCACAAGATTCTGATTCATATATTCAATAACTATAAACTTGGTTAAATATATTTTATTAATATTCATTAAATATATGCTATATGGGCAAAATTTTTATAATAAATTATAAATAAAGTAATAAATTGAATTTCTTTTATCGATATACAATTTCTATAATTGAACGAAAGCCCCATTTATTTTTATTTTCACTTACAAGATAATTAATCCTTTAAATTATATCAAATAGTCCAAGAAAAACCATTAAAAACTGTTTAATATATAATTTTATACAAAGACGCCCCCTTTCGGGAAAATATTTATACACTTTCCTTAACATTTTTATCGATTTTAAGAATGAAGATGGCCGCGTCCCAAACCAATTTTTTTATATAAATACAAAGGAAGAGTTTAATAATGTCTACTTAATTTTTTTTAGGAATTGAAGGTCGTATTATTTCCAAAAAATTGTTTTTAGTCTTTATATATTAAATAAAATGGCCGGAAATTGGTAAAAAAAATAAATAAATTTTTTTATCTAAAAGTAGAATCTTTGTACGTAATTTTGATATTAAATTCGTTATTTACAATTATGTAGTTTTTAAGATATGCGTAATTGAATGAAGGCAGATAATGGTAAAAAACGTCATTTTTGCCACTTTGAACCCTAATATCTTCAAAAATTTAAATGTTAGGAGGCTAAAATTTTGGCTATTTCTTAGTTACATTGACCTTTCTTTGCTTACCAGATTTTAAAAAAATCGAAAGGGGTCGGCCGAAAATCTCATTTTTTTTGCTCATTTGATGTGGAATGACCCGTCTAAGAACCTGATAAAAAAATATCCCATTATTATTTCTTTCATAGTAAATTGATTTATCGTAACATCCTACCTATTTGAAAATTTTAAATTCCTATTTAAAAATTTAAAAGATTTGGTTAAAATTGGACTATTTCCTTCCTATAGTGTTGTTAAATCGGCGAAATCCTAACGGTCTAAAAATTCACTAAGTTGAGGCGAGAGTATATTTTTTCATAATTGAGCTATCCTTTTAAACCTCTATCGAGGGCAAGATGATAGTTTTCGCTTAATATTCGTCTTTTTAGAGTTGGCTTAAAACCTGTTGGAGCTATTTATTGTTGGTAGTGTTGTTAAACGGCTCATTTTGAGCCGATTTTTAAAAACGGCTAAATCCATATTTTAGCTAGAAAAATATTACCTAAACCTCGAAATTTCGCTAATTGATGTCTAGACCTTTGTGCCATCTATGAGCAAAATCTTCAAACTTGCGTAATATTATTTTGGATAAAATATTGAGTTAGCCGTTTTTAAAAATCGGCTCAAATCGAGCCGTTTAACAACACTAATTGTTGGTGGTGCTGGTTTACCACACTTTATATTTTAAATAAAGTATAAAAAATTGAAAAATAAAATTGTTTACTTCTCTATACCCTATATGACTAAAAAAATATGAAAAAGATATATGACTTAATAAAAATCTGAATTTATTTAAAAATAATAAGAAAAAGGATTCAGATGTAAAAAAATATTAAAATTTTACGGGGAAGGGGGTGGCTCAGTCCCTCCTCAAAATTTGAAAAGGGGGTAGCTCCCTACTCGCAATAAACCCCTGTTCCGCATTATATACTTACAATTCAACACATTTACTATCTTATGGATGAATATGATCAATTTTAAGTACCGGCTTGATTTTGAGGATGATATTGTGGCTATATATATAAGCGAGGATTATTTTAAACAACACCATCTTGTGCTGTTTGCACACTTTTTATGCATGGTATATGATTAGTCTTCGAATATAGCTTTTATACAATAAATTACATTTCCTTCAAAAGAATTTATTAAAAATTAAATGCTTTTAAGATGGTTTAAAAAAGAAAATCGAATTACGTTATTTATGCCGTGGCTGCTAACAGCTGTAAAGTTTTTTTTGTATTTTATAGTGCGCACAAATTGAGCATTTCAAACGTTGCGTTGCAAACGCAACTAATGCATTGTCGATATATACCTCAACTAGCGGTACTATATTAATAAAATATTGGCTCTCTCCATGATTCGAAAAATTTTAATGTTATATTTCCTTCCTTTTTTGCCTGATTGAATATCACAATTAGATAATGAATTTAAAATATAATAAAATTTTAAAAAAATTAGGAGGTGGGAAATATTTACTATTCCTTTTCATGTCATGTTTTCTGATAAATAGAATAAAATAGACAAGCATCATTAAATTATCAAAGTTATTGCTGAATATTTATAATGCATAACATTAAAATAGAGAATACAATAAATATTTTTAGTTTGAGATATCTTAACTATAATCTTTTTTAAAAATGGTTAAAGAAACATTTTATCAGAGTTGTTAAACGCTACTTTTAAAAGTAGCGCGCTACCGCTAGCGACGATCAGAAAGTATAAGTTTTGCCTTATTAAATAATCTTTCGACAATAGCACTTGAGGGTAAGGGCGTATTTAATCTTATATACATATTTTTAATATAGATAGATTATCAATAATTTTATTTGCAAGTACATCGTATGTCTGGCATCCTATTATATTTTGAGGGCTAATGTCACAGATCTTCTTTTTAAAGTCCTAGGGTATAGCCAATGGCCTGTGATTTCCAAATAAGCTCAAAATTATTTAATCAGATCAATTTATAAATATAAATAAGTTTTTACCTTCTGTTATTTGTCCAACTATCTTCCGTGGTACATATATATGATATCTCTGATAACTCTACTATTAGAGCATCTTTCATCATTTTAAAGTTATCTGCTATTTTATTCATTAGTGTCTGGCGGCATAAAATTATTGTACCAGGGGATAGAGTTTTAATCATCATGGTAAATGATGGATTATCAACTAAGGACATTGGCTGAACTGTATAAATTATAAAATCAACAATAACTTTATTAGCCAATTTCTGAGAAATATTGTCATTTGCATTATTAATTAATTTGGTGAATTGAATTAGTCTTTTTGGATGTAGAGTCGCTTATACCAAAATTATTTAGATGTTTCTCCATTTCCTTAAAACTCCTGAACAGTCTTATAAAATAAATATTATTAGAATGTAAAAATGACAATTTACCTTTAGGTGTTTCTTGAGGTTATAGCTACTGGATTAATTTGAGGAAATATTTATTTTTTTACATTTTAAACAAATAAATTTGAAACCAGTTTTGGTTATATATTTATTTTAAAAAATTTTCAAATCTAGGGAATGGGAAATTTGTATTATAGCTATTAAGAATATTATTAAGAACATTTTCTTCCTTGGTATCTTCCATTTCATTAATATCATTGTCTGAATCACTTTCAACGATTTGGATATCTATTATAGGCGATGACATTTTAAATTATTAACACGTGATTTAAGTTTATAATACAAATGAAAATATAAATTACAAATTGAAATTATATTTTAATTTTCATGTTTATACTTATCTTCATTATATTTTTTAAAAGTGGCGAAGTAGTGGCTACTTAGCTACTTTCATAAAAAGTAGCGCCCTAAAAAATTAAATAATTACAAAAAAAGTAGTCGCTATTATAGCTACCAAAAAAGTTAGCGCGCTATTTTAACAACTCTGCATTTTATATAGATTAAAAAAATAATTAACGATTCCTAAATACTTTTTCATTTATAAATTATTTTTAATTAATGTATAGATAAAAAAATTTATAGGCCGTTTTTTTTAAATGGCTCTGGTTTAGGATTTATCGTTTGTTATTTACTAATAAAATTTATTCTTATCTCATCTTATTTTATAAGAAATATAATATTACTAAATGACAAATTAATAAATACTCATAATTACAGTACTTTTTTACGGCGGGAGCGGACGAGGTGCGGGCATGGACGATTCAGATTGGAACGCGTGCCCCACAGGCAGCGGGTAAAATTCATTCAGCATTTGAGAAGGGTTTCATAATGGCCGACGTCATGTGCTTCGAAGATTTTCAAGAATCACAAGGCTCCGAGGCCGCCGTCAAAGCTTGTGGAAAGTACCGTCAGCAAGGTATATTCTGACTATCGTTATTTGTTTATTAGCAATTGAATTAAAGTCTTAAAAATGAGTTATCATTTAAAATACATATTACGTTATATACATTTTGGTGACTAATAACTAGCATTTTGCTGATAAGTTTAAAGTTGATGGAAAATTGGTTTTTCGCTTGAAGATTAGTTTATATGCTTATAAATTTTATACCCTTTTTTGTAATATGAGAGATATCCATAAGGTGATTGGAAATGCTTAGTTTGATAGAAAGAATGACTGAATATCAGACTTGCAGTCTCTGAACTCGGCTCATATAGCCCGGAGCGGGTCGAAAATTGTAGCTTTTGATAATCCCGACCGGATTTAAAAATAAATTATATACCCATGCGTCTTCTCGCTTTAAGTATAGGCCTATGCAGAATTTTTCACCAAAAATTTTATTGGTAATTTTAGACCCACTCTTTGAATGCCTTTGACCTATCATTTTAAGATAATGTAATTTTTACCAGGGATCCAAACCGAACCATCCAGTATTTTTTTATTGAACCTAAACCGTTATATGATTTTCCTAACCTAAATCGAACCGCTAAAATACCTGTGAACCGGTTCGAGCCTCATAATTTTGTGCTTATAAAATATGAAAGTGATTTAGTATTGCTAAAATTCCAGTTTATATCCTAATTGTTTTAAAGATTATTATCAATCAAATCACATTTTTTATAAATAGCAGCCATTCTATAACATTTTTGAAATATTTTTAAGCTTATAATACTTAGAAAATCGAACGCTTTCAACGTTCATTGACAAAAATCGAACGCGTTAACGTTCGTTTAAAATTTTATGATAAATTTTTTTTTATATTTAATTTAATATAAATAAATGTCTTATCTTTTTTAACACAATATATTAACTATGTTAAAAAATAATATAGTTTTATTTTGATAATATAATTATAAATACAATATAATATAGCGAATAAAAAGACATTTTTATTTATAAAAAATTTTTCTTATTAATTTTATTAACAATTGTTTTAAAAATTCTTCTGATAGACAGGAACGCTTGGAAGTTAATATGGCATTATCTATACTAAAAACGCGCTCTACAGAAGCAGATGAGAGGATTGCGATATTATACTTAATAAACAACTTTTTTTAACGTGGGGAATTTATTAAAAACATTTATTGTTTTGTCTTTTTCTTCAAAAAATTGAGATAAGTTATCCCCAATCCATCCTCTACTTCCTCGTCCAAATAAAGGATATCTCGGAATTAACAGTTCTTGCATTATCATTTCTAGGGTTTTCAATCCAACTATCTAAGTTTTATATCTTCCATTGAATAATCTTTCATGCCTAATTATGTTTTCTTTCTTCCCTTCTCCTTCCTAGTTTTTATCTACTATTTTCTTTTTATAGATCTTTTTTAAATCCCTTATCTTTTCTCCTAAATTCCATTTTTATATTTTTCACCTTCAATAATTTTATCTTAATAATATATTATATCGCCTATTCAAATAAATAAACCAATGACCAGTTAAATAAACTTTTAAGAACGAAATATTGACGTTTGATTGTATTGAAATCAAGTTTTAGAACGACATTGTCTGGAATATTATTTGAGAGGGTAATGCGAGCAAGATGGGCCGAAATTTCAGAGCCTCCAGGTACACCAAACCCTAGCTGAAGTGGCGACAGGAATGAAGAAATAGATTCCTTTATTCGTGAGGCAATGATCTTAGAGATAGTCCTTCTGAAGAACGACCCAACAGCAATTGGGCGGATACCTCCATCCTTTTTTTTTGAGGGCTATAAGGCGGGCACCAAAGAGAATAGGAATGATAGGTGGTGGGAGGAGTCCATTGAGAATTAAATTTAATAACCTGGTAAGGTTCTGCAAGAGGGCTTTGCATGATATGTTAGGTTTTAAAATGTCTTGGATAAAAATAGCACGAATGCCATCTAGGCCTCCGAATAACGCTATAAGTTTATTTTTTATAGGTTCGTTCTGTGGAAGTTATATCCATGACCATTGAAGCTTGAATACTGGATGTATAATTGGAGAAAGAACTTATTGATCTTCATGTTCAAACAAATCTTTAAAAAAAAATATATATGTATAATTAATTTGATAGCGATAGGTTTAATACCTTTTATTAATCCCACTTAATACTTCGTCTCTCAATGGTTGACCATATTTTAGGCCACAAATTTTTTTAGAATTTGAAGATTTTGAAACTTATATAATTTTTGGGCAAATTTAACATTTGGTAAGTATTGAATTAGTTCCTTCAATATAGGATGTTACTGTAAAATATTTATCAAATTTAGGCCATGATGTTAATTCATCTGATTTTGAATTTTTAGAATCAGAGGATGATGATGAAATAATAATATCCATGCTTATGCTAATCTATTAAATTAAAATATAATAAATAATATTCATTAATAAACTATAATAATGGCGTGTTTAAAAAAAAAATTGAAATGTGAAAAAGAAAAAACAGTTGATTATAAAATATAAGACTTATTCAGATTAATGTTAAATTTTTCAAATAAATTAAAATAAAAAGTGTTTTTAAAATTGAACGTTAAATTCTAACCGTTCACATTCAAAGTTCTTCAAAAATAAAAGGAACGCCGTTCATCATTTTTTTCAAAAAAACGAACTTCGTTTTTACAACACTACTTAGAATAAATTAAATCCAATATATATTGTTTACATATAGTATTATAAATGACACATTAAAATGTAATATTACTGATTGTGACACAACTATGAAGAGGTATCACGGAGCAAATCTTAATTCGCCTAAAAAGAAACCACCCTCTTGAAGTCAATAAAATTAACAAAATATCAAAAAATAAAATATAAAATTTGAATATAGGTTTATATAGTTAAGTGTTCAAACCGGTTTTTAAAGGTTCGATCCGACCAGATATTTTTATTTTTTTCTACTAACCTGAACTTTTAACTGTTATTTTTATTCGAACCGATATTCATTTCAGTTCGGATCCCTGGTTTTTAACTCATTTTAAAAAATTATTACTTATACTTAATTCTTTTAAAATGTATTGTTTCTTTATAATAACATAAAGTACTTATATTTTGGGGAAGAGGGGACCGAGGGAAGTGTATCGGGAATTTTTTTATTAGCTTAAAATGATAATTACAAAAACTGGAAAATTTGATCGCTTTCCTTAGGTTACGCCAATTATTTGAAGGCGTAAGCTAATATATTATAATAGTTATATCAAATTAAGCAATCACTGTTTTATAAATACTAAATTTGACTTGATAAATTGTTTTATAATATTTTATTTTATCTGACTGATTGATAACTAGAAGAAACTAAAACAATGTATTTCTTAAAATTTTTGTTTTTCAAGTGATTATCAAACTAAATTTTTTTGCTTAATATTAAAATTTCTGCAAAAAATATATTATAAATTTTAACCAGTTAGATAATGCAAAAGGAACGATTTTTCTAATTTATATAAAAGATAGTCGGGGTAACTAAAATTTCGGCCGGGTCTTGATTTTCCATGTTTGTTTAGTTTCAATACATCTAGGAAAATAATTCCCCAGGAAAAATCCTTGAAAATAGTTCCCCGAATTATTCCAGAAAATTAATTCCCAGAAAAAAATTTCCCGGAAAAAATATCCCAGGAAAATAATTCCCCGTTTTTTAGATAGTAAAAATTAGAAAATTAAGGAGAAAAATTTCCTATAAATATATCCACTATATAAAATAAAAATTTTAGAAAATTAACAAAATAAAAAAAATTTCCTGTAAACCAAAATTATAAAAAATAAAAGTAGTTAATGTTAAAAATTAGAAAATTAATGAGAAAAATTTCCTATAAATATATCCACTAAATAAAATAAAAATTTTAGAAAATTAACAAAATAAAAAAAATTTCTTGTAAACCAAAATTATAAAAAATAAAAGTAGTTAATGTTAAGCTAAACTTAAACTAATTTATTTTTAAAACATTTTCGAATAACCCTAAAACATATAATATTTAACGTTATGATCTTATCCCGAACCCAGTTTTAGTAAAATTTTAGCAAAAATATAATTATAAAATGAATTAATGCTTAACTTTATCATACCCCTGATTTTAGTTACCTCATAGATACCTAGTTTCTATGATATTTAACACATTATTATCAGAAGTTAACCCTTAATTGTAAATGTCCTGCGCGAATTTTCCATTTAAAAAAATTTTTAAGAATGATTTTTTGGCCCTGACCATCATTCTGCTTTAAATAAATCGAAATCTGAATTTTGTTTTTTAAAATTAACTAGTGTTGTTAAGCGGCTCAATTTGAGTCGATTTTTAAAAATGGCTTCCTCGATATTTTAGCCAGAAAAATATTATCTAATCTTCGAGATTTAGCTAATAGATGCCCAAATCCTTGTGCTGCCACCTATGAGCAAAATCTGAAGGCTTGCATTATATTTTTCTGAGTAAAACATTAAGTTAGCCGTTTTTAAAAATCGGTTCAAATCGAGCCGTTTAACAACACTAAAATTAACCTCTCGTCCATTAACTAAAATAAAATTAAATAAATTTTTATTTTATTTTAAACATCTCTCATATTATTATATCATTATTTTTTTATATAATAATTTTTTAAAATTTATAACTTTATATTTATTACATATAGATAAAATATAATTACAAATTCCGAAATATATTTTATAAAAAATATTTATATCACATTTTATAAATCTTTAGTTAATAACTATCTCAAAGAAATATAGTACATACTCGGAAAAAAAAAATATATATATATATTAAAACATAGATATTTATGGAAAATAATTTTAAAGATTTATAATGACTGGAAGAAATTTCAGAAGAAATACCTTCATATCAGTTTATTTTCATTAAAAATAATTATTATTACAATTTTACATGGTTTTTTTAAAAAAAATTATAAAATTATTTATCATTTCCAATAAGTTTTGTTTAAATATCCTATTGAGAGATTTTAATTAAGGATTTTTAT